TCTTTTAAACACTGCTTGGCCCATTTCTAGCTAGCCTTTTCTCGGCTAACTCTCACACCTGGACTAGCCCATTTCTTATAATCTGTGTAGCCCACGAGCTGGCTTACCAGGAATGATCTTAACCTGCGTCTACCTGGAGTAGGAGAATCATGGCGACTCCCTGACTCAGCTTCTTTCTCCCAGCATTCTGTTCTGTTTACTCCGCCTACCTAAGGGTTGGCCTATCAAATGGGTCTAGGCAGTTTCTTTATTAATAAAAAAACACTCCCACATCATTTCCCCTTTTTCTGTTTAAACAAAAAAGAAAGGCTTTAACTTTAACATAATAAAACTACATATAACAAAACAGTTATCAAGTAAGAATTACAGTTACAATATTTATATCTACTTTATCTTTTATCATAACAATGGAAAACTATAACTACCTATCCATTCTTCAACTCCATCAAAGACTCCAGAAGGATATAATATTACCTAAGTAAACAAGAACTAAGAAACTTCAAACTCTAGAAATGACAAAGACATCTTGCTGCCTGGACAGTCACCCAAAGTTCTTTTGTACTGTTGGGGCATCCATCTTCAGCCTTCAGGCCCATAGTATCCAGCAGACATTTTCATCAAGCAGGAAATTCCAAAGACAGTTCAGTCACTTTCTGCTGTGTCCTGCAGAATGTCTCGCAGACTCTTTATGAGTTAGGAACCCCCCGAAAGACCATCTCACCTTTAGGCAAGTTCAGTGGTCCTCTCTCTGCGGGTTCTCTTTGTCCAGTTTATGCAACAGTCCAGGCAAGAACAGTTTCTTGCCCAAATGGCTATCAAACTCCATAAGGAGCCTCTTCGATGCCCATCTTCTTCTTGAAGTAGATTGGTGCTGCCAGGAGCAGAGTGTCTCATTGTCATGAAAAGTCCTAAGTTATTAAAACATTAAATGCTATATTCTGCAGTCTTTGAAAGATATAAAGAATGTCTATCTAACTGAAATGTATCTCTATATATCTAGAAAATCTAACTAACATGACTACAAGCTTGACTATTACTGATGATTATCCATTAACCTATATTTCTTAATTATGCATTACATTTTTTAATGAACTACACAATCACAATACCTTAATCAAGATCAGAAATACATATAACAAAATTGACTGTAAAATCCATACCAATGCAAATTATTCATATCTATATCATATCCCCCTTTAAATGTAAAAGAACTTTATAAACAATATTTTGGGAACATGGGCGCAGTTTTTTCTCTCCAAACTGCTTCCTGCTGAATGGGGGCGCTGTTAATCAGATCATTTAGGGTGTAACCTGTGTGCCAGGTTTATCTCAGTCAGCAGTTGAGTGAAGTAATTTTTTGAGGGTATTCACAGGAACTTTTCGGGAGGTCGTGGTCTATCATACCATATCAGGATAGATGCAATCCACAGGGTCTGGTCCTCTGTGAAAACAAAAGAAGACCTGCTCCAAAGCATCATATCCTTAGACCCAAATTTTGAAATCATAATACCCTTATGATATCCGTTCTGGTTACACTTGGCAGTCCATATAATGAAATGTCTCTCTGTACTTAGCTCCTTTACAGTCAAAAATTTTAAAGAAAACACAATGTACATAATCCAGTCTCTCTGTGAATTTTTCATTTTTACGTGGCTTATTTTTCTTTATTTCTTTTAATCTCTTAACTATCTGTACTCTGTTTCTTTAAAGACTTTACCCTTTTTTTAAGACATTAACTTTATTCTTTATATTCTTTTTCTTCTCTCTCTCTCAAGCCTATGTACATTCATCCAACACTGTCTGAATCTGTTTTATTGTGAATCTGTAATTTTTTTACTATCCAGGAGCATTTTTTAAAATATTAAGCAGTTCTTAAAAACTTAAGTTGCACCATGTAGGGGTAATATGGTACTGTCTGCGTCCTGCCCAGTCGACACCTTAACTGCACTGTTATCACAGTAATTACGGTAGTTCCTGCCTGAGACCAGCACAGTTCAGCATGGCAGAGCTGAGCCGCTCCTGCCTTAGAGCCATTTGGTGCCCCTGAGCCACACACAGTTCCAGGCACATAGCAGTCCACATTGCCATCAAGCAAGCCGTAGAGCTTTTCTCCAAATGCTCCATTCAAAAGCTCTGTCTCCCACAGGGGCCAGACAGAGATCGCAATGGCGGCACAGCCCAGAAAGCAGCTGTTTAAAACTGCAGCTTCCCCCCCCCCCATTGCGGCTGCTGAGTCAGGAAATTCTCTCTGCAGCACGCCACCCACAAGCAGCAAAAAACTGTGTTAAACTCTCTCTCTCTCCCTTATTTTTAAAGCCCTCTCAGGTTTTTAAGTGGATTTAGGCCCCACGTTGGGTGCCACTCTGTAGTAGTAAGAGCGGCGGGCTGCGTCCCTGGCACCCGGCCGCCCCCACGGCTAGCTTTACCCGAAATAATTACATGGAAACTGTATTCTTTTAAACACTGCTTGGCCCATTTCTAGCTAGCCTTTTCTCGGCTAACTCTCACACCTGGACTAGCCCATTTCTTATAATCTGTGTAGTCCACGAGCTGGCTTACCAGGAATGATCTTAACCTGCGTCTGCCTGGAGTGGGAGAATCATGGCGACTCCCTGACTCAGCTTCTTTCTCCCAGCATTCTGTTCTGTTTACTCTGCCTACCTAAGGGTTGGCCTATCAAATGGGTCTAGGCAGTTTCTTTATTAATAAGAAATCACTCCCACATCACATACAAAGATATATATTTTAGATAGGTGGCTGGTTTTCAAACACTTTAGAGACCTACAAACTATGGCATTTAAGATGTTTTAATGACAAGGATTTTCATGATAATGAGACATATCTGCTCTTAGCAACACTAATTTACTTCAGAAAAGGATGATGGGTATTGAACAACCTCCATATGGAGTTTGTTTTCATTGTGGCAAAGTTAGTCACTGGGCAAAGCACTGCCTCCACTGCTGACAATAGGTTGCCCAAACTAGACAAGCAGAACACAAAAGAAAGCAGTTGCTGAGCTTTACCAAGACAAGGTAGGCCAGTTCTTCAAAATTTCCTGCTTGACAAAAAAGTCCGTCAGACATTCTAGGCCTATAGACTGAAGATGGGTGCCCCAATCTTACAGAGAAACCATGGGTGGCTGTCCAGGCAGTCAGATGCCTCTGTCATTTCTATAGTTTTGGAAGGTGCTTGTGCTACACTTCCTGTTTACTCAGGTAATATTATATCCTTGGGTCTTTGATGGGGTCGGAGACTAATAGTTATAGTTACAGTTTTCCTTGTTACCAAATTCAAAAAAGAAATTCACAAAAAAGATGCAAAGTTTGCAAAGTGGAAAAACAAAAGCTTTAGCTACGTATCTAAGAAGATGCTGTAAGGTCTAAAAAGGTATTTTTAAGTTGATAATACAAGTTATGATAGAAAATAAATTAGGCACAAAACTTTTGACTCACCAATATAGGATAGATAATATAATACTTTCTCTCATTTGCAAAATACAGCTAGACTGTACATTGTAAATATAATTCTTACCTGATAATTGTTCTTATTGTATATAGTTTTACCGTATTAGAATTAAAACCTTCCCTTTTCATTTAGACAAAAAGGAGGAAATGTTTTGAGATATTTGATTACTGTGTGAAGATGTACTGATGGGGTATAATAAAAAGATAACTGGCCAATAGCTAGGCAGGAGAGATAGGCAGGACTTTTGCGCAAAGAGAGATCTCTGGGAAGAAGAAAGGCAGAGTCACCAGCCAGATGCAGAAGTAGGAGGATGGGCAGTACAGAGAGATGAATTAACAAACTGTGCAGCAGAATGTAGATTTAAAAATATGGGTTAATTTAAGTTATAAGAACTAATTAGGAATAAACCTAAGCTAAGGTCAAGCTTTCATAATTAATAAGTCTGTGTCATTATTTGCAGGCTGGTGATCAGGACAAGAAACTGCTACTACTACTACTACTACTACAACACACACACACACACACACACACACACACACACACCACATCTTCATTCCTTCCAGAACAGTTACAGATTCTCTACTGCCCCCTGGAATACATGTTCCTATCCACATGTCCTCCTGGCCAGGTTCTCCAAAGCTTTTTTTTTTTTTTCTAACTGGTTTTTAGACACAGGATTTCTCTGTGTAGCCCTGGCTGTCCTAAACTCTCTTTGTAGACCAGGCTGGCCTCAAACTCACAGAGACTCACCTGCCTCTGCCTCCCAAGTACTTGGATTAAAAGTGTGTACCACCACCACCCAGCCTCTCTAAAGCTTTGATGAGACCAAATGAAGCCTGTCTCAAGGGTGGAAATCCATCAGGTTAGAAGTCCTGCATGGGGACTCAGCGAGCTGTGTGAGAGGTCCTCTCTGCCTTCCTGTCACTCACTGAGTTCTGGGAGTCCCCCATTTCCGAAGCCACGTGTTGCCCAGCACAGTGGTTGTTGGTGCTGACTCCTGCTAGGAATGTCATTCTCAGCTAAGGAGATTCCGAGGTAGGGGTGCAGCCACAGGTGGCTGGTATTTCAAAGCACCCCCGTGACTCTAACAGGCAGCCAGGATAAGGACCCACAAGACTGGATGCTCTGTTGGGCCAGTGTGGTCGTTTGAATAAGGATGGCACCATAGGCTCATAGGTTTGAATACTTAGTCACCAGGGAGTGGGCACTATTTGAAGGATTAGGGGTGTGGCCTTATTGGAGGAAGTTTGTCACTAAGGGTGGGCTTTGAGTTTCCAAGTCCAGAGCCTCTCTTCCAGCTGCCTGTGGATCCAGATGTAGAGCTCTTTGCTATCATGTCTCCTGTGTGTTGCCGTGCTCCCCACCATGAGGACGATGGACCAAACCTCTGAACTCTAAGTCAGCCCCAAATAAATGTTTTCCTTTATAAAAGTTGCCAAGGTCTTGGTGTCTCTTCACAGCAACAGAGCACTGACTAGGACACCCAGCCTTCCTAGTACTGTCTTCTGGGCAAGATGAGGTCTGTGCCTAGTAAAGGAAGCTGCCTTCAAGGCGGAATGCTTCAGTTCCGCCCCCTGTGACCTTGAAAAGGTCACCTCCACCCCACGTCATCTTGCCCCTTTCAAATTCCATGAATCTAAGTCTCTTAAATCTATGATCCTAATGCCAAGTTAAGAATTCCCAGAGACTACACTTGATCTTAGCCAAAAGGCCGAGAAGCGATGAGGGGTGCACCCACACACTGAGACAATGGGGATGTTCTACTGGGAACTCACCAAGACCAGCTGGCCTGGGTCTGGAAAAGCCTGGGACAAAACCGGACTCTCTGAACATAACGGACAATGAGGACTACTGAGAACTCAAGAACAATGGCAATGGGTTTCTGATCCTACTGCACGTACTGGCTTTGTGGGAGCCTAGGCAGTTTGGATGCTCAACTTACTAGACCTGGATGGAGGTGGGGGGTTCCCTGGACTTCCCACAGGACAGGGAACCCTGATTGCTTTTCGGGCTGAGGGGGGGGGGGGGACTTAATTAGGGGAGGGGGAGGGAAATGGGAGGCGGTGGCTGGGAAGAGACAGAAATCTTTAATAAATAAATAAATTTAAAATTAAAAAAAAAATAATAAAAAAAAAAGAAAAGAAAAAAAAAAAGAATTCCCAGAGAGCTGATTATCCATCCCAGGTTTCTGCTTGAGTTCCTGCCCTGGCTTCCCTCAGTAATGAATTATGATGTAGAAGTATAAAGCAAACAAAATTCTTTCCTCCCCAGCTTTGGCTGTGGTGTTTGTCACAGCTACTGTAAGCCTGACTGAGACCACAGGGGTCTGGTGGCTGTGAGGAGGGTTGTGGCTTGAGTTGGTGGTTGTGGGTTACAGTTGTCATTACGCAGAGGTGGCTGTCACTGAGGAGAGAGTCAGATTTTTAGTTTGTTTTAGTTTTTTTTTTTTGCGTTTATATTATATCTTTTACTAGAAAGGGTTTTTTTGTTTTTTTTATTAATTTATTTATTTATTAAAGATTTCTGTCTCTTCCCCGCCACCGCCTCCCATTTCCCTTCCCCTCCCCCAATTAAGTCCCCCCCCCCCCCTCAGCCCGAAAAGCAATCAGGGTTCCCTGTTCTGTGGGAAGTCCAAGGAACTCCCACCTCCATCCAGGTCTAGTAAGTTGAGCATCCAAACTGCCTAGGCTCCCACAAAGCCAGTGCGTGCCCTAGGATCAGAAACCCATTGCCATTGTTCTTGAGTTCTCAACATATAGGCATCCTCCTGGATATTAACCTTCAGCAAGCAATGAAAGGAGACAGAGACAGAGACCCACATTGGAGCACAGGACTGAAATCTCAAGGTTCAAATCAGGAGCAGAAGGAGAGAGAGCACAAGCAAGGAACTCAGGACCACGAGGGGTGCACCCACACACTGAGACAATGGGGATGTTCTACTGGGAACTCACCAAGACCAGCTGGCCTGGGTCTGGAAAAGCCTGGGATAAAACCGGACTCTCTGAACATAGCAGACAATGAGGACTAGTTTGTTTTAGTTTTGAGACAGGATCTTGTGTAGCTCCGGCTGAAGTTGAACTCCTTAAGTAGCTGAGGAAGACCTTGAACTCCCAATCCTTCTTACTATATTTCATCCAGGTACAGCCTTGGCCACCGAGTACCTCTCAAGGTCAGGTTTTGACTAAGGGTGAAAACTAGGGTCAAGTTCATGACCAAACACAGACCACTGCCTTCTTCTGTGTCATCGACTCCACCTTCTGAGAAGTACACAGAATCCAGTCAGGGGCAACTTTGTTATCCTCTGAGCAATACTTCGTTAATAGCCTCAGCTTAATCTCCTGTTGGTGGTTAGTCTTTTTTATTTTTTTTTTTGTAACTTTAGTTTGTTCTTTGATAATTTCACACATGCATATGGCGCATTCTATGCCCCGTCGCCCCCACGTACTCCTCTCTCCCTCCCACTCTCGTATGAGACCCTATCTTGGGTAGCCCAGGCTGGCCCCAGTCTCCTGAACATTCCGACTGCACCGCACACACGCTGGGATTATATGCTTGCAGCCACAGATCCCAGCTCGGGCCCCTGCTGACCCCCTCCACCCCCAAATGCTCCCTTTCTCGCACTCATGCCATTCTGCTTTCTCTCGGGACACACTGAGTTCAACTAAGGCCATCGGTACAACTGTGGGCCCGGAGCACCCGTTGGCGCCTGCAGGCTCAGCAGAGGGTGGCGGCAGTGGCGGGGTTCTGTGGGACCTTCTTCACTCACGCTAACTTTTTTTAATCTTTCAATTCTTTTGACTAGAGGTTTTTTTTGTTTTGTTTTGTTTTGCAGGAGGGCTCTGGAAGCCAGACAGCAAAGCCCTTGCCTTTCTTCTTCCTGCTTTATTCTATTTGCTCACTGATGTGACAGGACTCGAGTAGGCTCACAGGCACAGTGACATCTTACTGGCTTCAGGATGACAATCCCTCACCCCTTTTGTACCTTCGCCCCTGGACCCCTGCCCGTTTCCTGTTTGCTCTAACGCCTTTGTAAACAGCTCCCCTGCAGTAAGTCCACTTCACAGACCAAGATGGAAAGGGACTTTGTGATTCAGCCCCTGCTGCTCTGTCTTCTGCCCCCACGTGACTTCTTCCTCGGAACCCAGTCATTCTCCTTTCCTAACCCAGAACACATGTCTTTCTTGCTCTGGGCTCTTAACAATGCGTTTCCTACAGCCAGATGGGACTGTCCTCATTTTGTCTAGATGACTCATCCTGAGCCTTCACCCTTTGAGTTTAATGTCACCTTCTCTGAGACGACAGCTCTCACTGTACCCTTTAGATGGGTTTACTTAAGGTCTTGTCTAGTTACCTTTAGATAGGTTTACTTAAGGTCTTGTCTAGTTATTTTAAAATATTTTTTTAACGTGTATGGGTATTTGGCCAACATATGTGTACATCACATGCAGTTCCAGGAGAAAGCCAGGAGGGGGCGTCATATCTCCTGGATCTGAAGTTATAGACAGTTGTGAGCTACCCTGAGGTCTGGGAATGGGACCTGATTCCTCTGCAAGAGCAGCCAGTTGTCTTAGACCACTGCGCCATCTCTCTCCAGCTCCGTCCGCTGTGTTTTCCCTTCACTGCATAATTTTGATTTGTGATGCTTTGCTCCCTATGCTAAACACTAAGGTCTTAGAGGAGCAGAGACAATGACTGCTTCATCTTCAGGTCCCTTGGGCCTCGGAAGTGCCAGATACGCAACTGGTGCCAGGGGGCCTAACGACACAATGGTGGAAAAGAAAGTGCCATTGAGAATGGGGGAATTCTCCAGCTCCTCAGAGGTGACCCAGTCCTGTTTCTATCATGATTGTTACATGCTGAACATCCATAGTCAGAAGGCCTCAAAGGCTCCGGGTATCTGCAACTTTCTGAGCCTGCCTGGACTCCAGACATGGAAGACACCACATCTGTGTGTAAAGCACAGAAGCACATTGTATGAAGTTGCCTCCATGCTGTGTGCATGAGTTACTGATAAATAAATAAATAATAAATAAATGGACTTCGTGTTTAGGTGTGGCTCCCCTCCCAAAGTCTGTTAGTTTTTTCGTTGCTGTGGCTAAATACCCGATGGCAGGGAACTTAGGGAAGGAAGGGTTTGTTTGGGGTTACAGGTGAAGGGGGCCCTCCACCATGGCAGGTGGGTCATGGTACAGCAGGAGTGTGGGTGGCTGGTCCCGTGGTCAGAAAACAGAAAGGTGAAAGCCCGTTTTCAGCTCACTTTCTTTGTCCTCAGGACCCATCCCATGGAATGGAGTCATCTGCAGTTAAGACAGGCCTGCCTGCCTCAGTTACCTGACTAGGAACCTCTTTGCACACATGCCCAGAGGCTTATCTCTAGGGGACTCCAAATCCTGTTACGTTGACAATCAATATTAACTATCACACCAACATACCTCCTTATGTGTATGAGAATACTCAAAAACCTAAACAATATACCTCTTTGGTACCCAGTGTTTTAGACAAGTTTACCCAACCTGGACTGCTCTTGTAATATTGTTTTCAAATTCTTCACTGGTCTCCTGGGCCCTGTGACCTCTCAAATAAAAAAAAAAAAATGGTGATGTTGTTGTTTTCCCCCAGGGAGTTCATTTTTGAGCATGTGGGGCTTTGCAGGGCTTAGCTGCAGGTTGCCATGGTGATTACTGGCTGGTGAGGAGCAGAGCAATTGCACTCGAGAGCCAGTTTTCCTGGGTGGGTGGAACTCATGTCTGTGGCGGTTGGAAGGGCAGCTCGGGATAACACAGGACCCTCATACAGTCTCGGTGGGCAGGGAAGAGGGTTGCAAGTCCCCAGAGGAGTGAGTCCCAGGCCTGTGGTCCCCACAGCCGCCTGTGTGGCTCTTTGACAAGCAGAAACAAAAGACCCACACTTGTGTTTTTAGCTAATGATGAGCAAATGCAGCTTAGAATACTGGAGACCAGCTATCACCAGGAGGGCAGTGGCAGCCAAGTCTGGGGTATGTGTGCGGGTGGGGGGAGCCACACCCTCTGTAAGTAAAGTTATATCAGAATGCAGCCAAGGCTGTTTATTACTATCGTGTCCATGCCCAGAGCTTTCGTCAGTGGCAGAGATGACCAGTTTCCAGCTGTCCAGTCCGTCAAGCTGGAAGTATTTGCCACCTAACCCTTTGCAGAAAAATCTTCTGGACCTGAGGCAGGAGGGGCTTGAAGGTGAGGACAGGAAAGGGAGCAGAGGCTGTTTATATGGCCCTCGGCAAAGGCTTGCTTTTTGTTTTGTTTTGCTGTTTATATTTACCAAACGCTTCCCTGTGGCAGGCTCTCTATTGCCAGACTCAGAAGCTCTGTTTTGCCGGGGGGAAATGATGAGCATCCCTGAGGAGTTAGAGAACATCAGACAACACACACTTTCATTAAAATCAACTCACTGTTCCTCTGCAACTCAACCCAGGTGGATGCCCTGTGTTTGAACTGATCGTGGTGTAATAGGGAGATGGCTTTGGTAAGGTGCTTACCATGAGAACATGAGGATCTAGTTCTCACATGAAAACTCAGGCCTTATGCAAGCACCTGCAAGGCCAGCACAGGAGAGGAGACAGGAGACTCCCTGGGGCTCGATGGGCAAATTAATTCAGTGACAGACCCTATCTCAATCAACCAACCAATCAGTCAGTCAGTCAGTCAGTCAGTCAATTCATCAATCAATCATTAGCCAATCAAGTGAAAA